ACTTCCAAAGGAGGGGGTGTTTGTGGTGCCCCGACAGTGGCCCCTGCAGAGTGGAGAAGGAGCCCGGCAACTTGAATAAACACTTCGCAATAGGGTTAGACTCAGAAACCAGGTCGGGTTAGAAAGGAGAGGGGCAGAGGCGTGAGCGGTCTTGTTCGTGGGCGTGGCCCTCAGAATCCCTGGTCTCACAGGCAGGGACCAGGATCACCTCCTGACTGCTCCAGAGGGACCTCTACAGGGACAAGACGGGGAGGGGAGTGTCCTCTGAGCCAAAGACCTCCCTTGCCGTCCTGGGACCTCCCTACACAGCCTGCGTCTATGGTGAATGGTGGGGCCATCCTGCGTGGGGTGCAGATGAAGTAGTAAAAAGCATGGAAACAGAGGGTGATACAGTCTCTCTTCAGTCCTCTTTTTATTCTTCCAAATCAGTGGGGGGGAGGATGTCTCCACCGGCTACTGTCTGTTTACCACCTCACTGACGCGTCTGATCTCCCCGTGTAACAGAGGGAGCGGATCTAAGACTCCCCCAGTAGCTGGCAGCAAAGTCATGCTCAATTTAATTGCATCGCTTGTTTTCTTTGTTTTAATTTTACAGTTATTTTCTGTTTACATCAAGTGAGTCTGCTTTCCCGTTTATGGTAGTGACAAAGTTTCTCTTTCAAAATGGACTAGCTTGCCCTGGCCGGTTTGGCTCAGTGGTTCGAGCATCGGCCTGTGGACCAGTGAGTCACGGGTTTGATTCGGGCAAGGGCATGTACCTCGGTTGCAATTCGTCCCCAGCCCTGGTTGGGGTGGTGCAGGAGGCAGCCACTCGACGTGTTCCTTTCGCATCGATGTTTCTTTGTCTGTCTGTCTGTCTCTCTCTGTCTGTCTCTCTCTCTCTCTCTCTCTCTCCTCTCTCTCTCTCTGTTCTTCTCCTTCCCTCCCACTCTATCTGAACAAAGATGGAAAAATGTCCTCAGGTGAGGATTAAAAACAAAAACAAAAACATGGCCTGGCTTGCCTGGACAGTGTGGCTCAGTGGATTGAACATTGTCCCATGGACTTAGAGGTCCCAGTTCGATTCCCAGTCAGGGTACATGCCCTGGTTCTAGGCTTAATCCTCAGTAGGAGGCATGTGGATGCAGCCAATCAACGTCTCTCTCTCATATCAGTATTTCTCTCTCCCTCTCCCTTCTTTGCTTTCTAAAAAGCAACTTAAAAACAATAATTTTTTTTTAATTTAAGGAGTTTTCTTCCAAAAATAAAATGGACTGACTTAAGTGGAAAAGGCAAATTTATTTTTCAAAAACCAGGACGTAAATACCTACACAGGTGATACCTGGATATGGCCGCACAGTGGTGCCAGTGAACGTGAACATGCAAAGCTGGGGAGCCACGCAGCTGGGGGCTGGCAGGGCTGGGGAGAGGAGGGTGCAGAATGACTGCAGTGGGCATGAGGTTTCTTTCGGAGGTGATGAAATGTTCTGGAACTAATAGTCCTGATGGTTGTATAACACTGAATATTCTGAAGCCACTGCACTGTGTACTTTAAATGGTTAAAGTGGCCCTGGCCGGTTTGGCTCAGCGGTTAGAGCATCGGCCCGTGGACCAATGAGTTGCGGGTTTGATTCCATTCAAGGGCACGTACCTTGGTTGCAGTTCATCCCCGGCCCTGGTTGGGGTCGTGCGGCAGGCAGCCACTGGATGTGTCCCTTTCACATCTCTCTCTCTCTCTCTCTGTCTCTCTCTCTCTCTCTCTTTCTCTCTCTTCCTCTTCCTCTTCCTTTCTCTCCCTCCCACTCTATCTGAACAAAAATGGAAAATGTCCTTGGGTGAGGATAAAAAAAAAAAAAAAATCATAAAAATAAAATAAAATGCTTAAAGTGATGAATTTTATATTATGTTAAGTTACCTCAATTTTTAAAAAAGTGAAGGATTTATTGACGGCCTAGATGTGGGAGTGAGAAACGTACGAGGTCAGGGATGGTGGCTGGCGGCCGGGACGACGGTGGGACAGGTTTGGGAGCAAGCCCAGGAGCTCGGTGTCCGATGGAAGCTGGGGACGTAAGTAGGTACACCCGTTGGCCGTCGGTGCTCTATCCAGGGTGGAGACACTAGCTTCCGAGTCGGCATCTCACGGAGATGGCCTTTTGGGGCCGGAGGCTGCCTGAGGTCACCGTGTCTGTGGAAGTGGAGAGAATGGGGTCCGTGGGTTGAGTCTAGGACACCCCAACATTAAGAGACTGGGGACAGGAGGAGGGACCAAAACAGAACGCGGAATGGCTGCCAAGGGAGGAGGGAGGAGGACACAGAAAAGAATACGTTGTGCAGAAAGCCGAGGGGGGGAGGCAGGAACCTTCAGGCTGCCCAGTGCGTCCGACAGATCCCGTAAGGTGAGGACCCAGATTAACGCCGGACTCCGCAGCACGGAGGGCGTTCGAGGCCTCGGCAGGCGGTGTTCAATGGTCAGGGGCAAGTCCGATCCAAGGGAGAACGGAAAGAGGATGGGAGACAACGGGTATGGAGAATTATTTTAAATTTGAGCAGCTTTTGGAAAGGAGGGTGAGACATGAGTGGTGGTTAAAGGGAGAAGGAGAGACCAGGGAGGAGTTGTTTTTTAAGGTGGACATTTAGTCGCATGTTTGTGTGCTGACGGGGTTGATCCGCCAGGAGTAAGTTGATGGCCTGGGGGAGGGGAGTTGCTGGGGTGATGTCCGTGAGTGGGCAAGAAAGGACGGCCCTGGTGCACCCCGGAGGCGGAGTTAAACAGCTCTGGGAGGAAGGTGGGGGGATGGGGCTGGGAGGAAGGTGGGGGGCTGGGGCTGGGAGGAAGGTGGGGGATGGGGCCGGGAGGAAGGTGGGGGGCTGGGGCTGGGAGGAAGGTGGGGGGCTGGGGCTGGATGCTGGTCGGCTGGAACACGCGAGGAGAGTTTAGGGAAATCCCCTCGGGGAGCAGGAGACAGGTCAGGGGCCAGAGCGGAGAAGGGGAAGCAGAGATGACGTGTGGCATCACCCAGGACGATGGGAGGATGACTGGGAGGGGAGGGGAGGGGAGTGCAGTCAGGTGGCCAGGGAGCAGGCAGGCACAACTGGGGGCCATGGTCAGGAAGGTAAAGTGACACCACTCCGCACGGTGACGTTCGTCTCTCCAGGCACATTCAGCCGCACAGAAACAGGGAATAGGCGAAGACTCGAATTTAACCAAAATTGTGATTTCACCGAGCAGGTGTGATGAAGTGAGGCGGGGGCGAAGGATCTGAGAATAGACGCAGGGAATGAGTCTGATGACTGGCCACGGGACGTGTGTTCAGTAAGAGAAGAAGGGCCCTGGCCGGTGGGGCTCAGTGGCTGAGCGTGGCCCCTGCACCAAGAGCTCACTGGTTCGACTCCCAGTCAGGGCACATGCCCAGGTTGCAGGCTCGATCCCCGGGTAGGGTACAGGCAGGAGGAGGCTGATTGATGTTTCTTTTTCCCATGTTTCTCTCTCGCATCAATGTTTCTCTCTCTCCCCCCCCTCCCTTCCTCTCTCCCAAAAAATCAATAGAAACATATTTTTTAAAAAAGAGAGAGCAGGATATTGAGGGACGGGAGACATTCAGGATGGATTTATGGTCCTAGGGAGGGAGAGGGTCAAGGAGCAAGCGTATCAGGTGACACAAAAGGAGTAAGCCGGAAAGAGTCCACGGTGGTCCCGGGAGAAGCGCGTGACATTGGCGCAGTGGAGGAAGAGTGATCAGGCAGGGAGGAGCGCGAGAGAGGGTGGGGAAGGGTGATCCAGGGAACCCAGGGGGCATGAGGGCCCAGCGCGCGCATGATGACATCACCAAGAGTGAGCTCAGGCACAGGGACGGAGGACAGCGAAGCCCAACGGCGTGGAGAAGCGCAGGCGAGTGGCCCTGGTGTCAGCAGGGACTCCAGCAAGGACTCTCAGACCTCCAGGCTCAGTGATGTAGAAGCCCAGAGAGCAGCCCCCACCGGGGAGAGCGAGAAGGGAAAGGAACATTAGGAGGAGGTCGATGACATGGGGGCTCAGGCAGAGCCCGATGGGAGTGTTTCGGGAGTTGGGAAGCAGTGGGCTGCAGACACAGGTGTGGTCTGCGTGAAGGTGGGGTGCCTGTTATAAACGGGGAAGGAGCATAAGAAGGGAGCCCTGCTGGTCTCCGGGCCGAGGGTGTGGGTGAGACTGAGTGTTGTGAGGGGCGGACGTCCAGGCTCTCCGCTGATCACGTGGAAGGGGCAAGGTGCCCTGGGGGAGCCCGGACCATCCCATGGAGGGCAGGACCCGTGGGCCGGAGGTGTGATTCCCAGTGCAAGAGACTCGGTCTCGACCTCTGGCCGGGGAAGGGTGGTCTTACTCTGAGCACGCAGAGCTCTCCTGGGCGAGCAGTCCCTGAGAACAGGGCCCAGGAGCCAGAGGACTCTGCAGTCCACACACCCTCAGACCCTCCTTTGCATGACGAGCCAGCTCTGCGCGGCCCCCGCCCAGTGTCCTGCAGTGTTGCTCATCGTCACTTATCCATCCAGCTGATCCCTGGAGCTCTAGCTTCGAAACTCACTGACTGGCACGTGATGGATGCTCCCTTAAACACCTGGCTGACAGAGGCGCTCATGAGTTTGAGCAATCCTTGTGCACTGTGATAAGCCCTGCGCAGGGCCTTTGTCCTTCAGTCCTCAACAACCAACGAGACCAGTCAGGAGCTACCCCAGGTCACCTCTGAGGAGCCCGGAGTGCAGAGAAGGACAGGTGTTTGCCCAAGGTCACAAGCAAGGGCATTTGAAGCTGGAACTACCTCATTCCAGCACTGGCCTTCCCAACCGCCAAGGGGGCTGGGAACGGACGGAGTCTGGAAGGACCTCCGCTTCCGAGGACCCGTGTAAAGAAGCGCGAGGTCGGGACCAGGGGACCTTCCTGCCGGAGTCGCACCATCCACTGTACTTTGCTCTCTCCCCAGAACCCCCCACTGCTTCCCACCCGTGGTGATTTCAGCAGTCTCTCTCTGTTTCTGTTTCCACCCTAGATGTGAAAAGCTGGCTTGTGATGTTTGGATTTCAGCTCAGCAACATAATCCCTGGCTTCCCAAGAGCCAAAATGTACTTCGTGCCTCCTCCCTACGAACTGTCGGAGAGTCAAGCCAGTGAGAACGGGCAGGTAAGTGGAGGTTCCACCGAGAACACAATCCACCGTCCTCATCGGTCCCTTTTGCAAACAGAACCGCAGGGGAGCCCAGGGCACGTCGGCAGAGGGGGGAAACACTGGCGCTGGGTATAAAAGGGACCCGAAACGCTGTGACTTCCCGGGAAAGCCAGTGTCGACGTTGACCTGTCTGGCTCAGCGCATATTTCTTTGGAACCTCGATTATGACCTTAATTGTGGTATCATTGTCTGTTCCGTCTATACCCCCGAGTCACTCCTTGATTAACAACAGCCCAGAGAAATCTAGCAGCAACCCACCATCTGCACCGTCTATAATATCATAAACCTTCCGGCTTTTATGGAACGTCATAAAACGAGGGTTTGCAGTTTCCCATTAGAGAACATTTTTATGCCACACATAAAACGTCAGGGTTTTACGGCCCAAATGTATACAGATTGAGTTTGCAGAACATCATCTGTCCTTGGGTCTCGCCGTGATGACCACAGGGTGGTCGTTTTCCATGTGGGTGCAGCTCGGGGCTCTGCCGCACAGGACGGAGGGGTGGGCACCCTTGCTCCGACAGCCCTGCCACGGGACCGGCACTCAGCACTGTGGACGTTGGAGAGGCCTCAGCTGCTCGGGATAATTGTCCAGACTGTGCAGAGACGAGGAGAGGCCGCTGGGTCGTTGAGAACAGCGTTCTTGCAGTTCCGCCCCTCGGGGACCACTCAGTGGATGAATAGCCATCATTTCTCTCATTTATCTGAGTGCCGTTACCTCCCAAACACAGCCTCTTCCATTATCCCCGCCTGTCCCCCAACCACCAATTGAGACAAGTTGTAATTTGTGAGTGGAGAACTGAAGGCCAAGGCGGTAATGGAGATTTCCTCCCTCTGCAGAGTCAGGGCTGAAATCCAAAGCAAATGACTCGGGGTCCAGGGCTAATCCCTCTGGCCCACGAAGCCAGACCGTCCTAGCCTGGTGCACCTCAAACCCCAGTAGGCACACAAACCACCCAGGGTGTCTCGTTAGCAGGCGGCTTCTGACTCACGAGGGCCCGAGTGAGGTCTGAGATTCTGCTGTTCCACCAGGGTGGGCCCCGGGGGTTCTGCTCCTGGCCAGACTCTGAGTAGCAAGGTCTTACCCCAAGTTCATAAATAACCAGGGCATTGGCCTCCGAGAAATCTGGGTCACTGTGGCAGGGTTCACAGCTGCTCACACACACACCCAGCCCTTCAGGTCAGGACATTCCTGGGTCTGACGTGTGCGTGACAGCTGTCAGGGTGCGGAGCGCCCTCCTCCCGTCGGGGAGAGACGTGGCAGGTGCGCAGAGCTGGGTGCAGGTGCTAGCAAGGTGCTGAGCCTCCAGACGCAAGGTGGCCTCCCCAGAACGCCAGCCCGTCTTAGTGCTGAAAGGTAAGCCTATGTCTGCTCAGATCCCGAACACAAGCCTAGTTCCTGCCGGGGCGGCCCAGCTCTTCCCTCTCTGGCCCTTTGGTGACGAGCTCCCCGCCCACGCGCACGGTTGCGCTGCCCACTGCCTCAGCCCTCTGTGTTTTCTCACACCCACAGCTCATCACAGGGGTCCAGCAGACGACGGAGCGGCACAACCAGGCCTTCCTGGCTCTCGAGGGGCAGGTCATTTCTAAAAAGCTGCACGCCAGCATCCGAGAGAAAGCCGGCCACTGGTTTGCCACCACCACGCCCATCATCGGCAAGGGCATCATGTTCGCCATCAAAGAAGGGCGGGTGACCACCGGCGTGTCCAGCATCGCCAGCGAGGACAGCCGCAAGGTGGCCTCCGTGCTCAACAACGCCTACTACCTGGACAAAATGCACTACAGCATCGAGGGCAAAGACACCCACTACTTCGTGAAGATCGGCTCAGCCGACGGCGACCTGGTCACGCTGGGCACCACCATCGGCCGCAAGGTGCTGGAGAGCGGGGTGAACGTGACCGTGTCGCAGCCCACGCTGCTGGTCAACGGCAGGACTCGAAGGTTCACCAACATTGAATTCCAGTACAACACCCTGCTGCTGAGCATCCGCTACGGCCTCACCCCCGACACCCTGGACGAAGAGAAGGCCCGCGTGCTGGACCAGGCCCGACAGCGGGCGCTGGGCACCGCCTGGGCCAAGGAGCAGCAGAAAGCCAGGGACGGGAGAGAGGGGAGCCGCCTGTGGACTGAGGGTGAGAAGCAGCAGCTCCTGAGCACGGGCCGTGTGCAGGGCTACGAGGGCTACTACGTGCTTCCTGTGGAGCAGTACCCAGAACTCGCGGACTGTAGCAGCAACATCCAGTTCCTAAGACAGAATGAGATGGGAAAGAGGTAACAAAATCGCCGGCTGCCATTCCTTGTCTGGATGGCTCAACGGGAGTGACTGTCCTCTCCTCTCCTAAGGAGACGAACACCTAACAGGGGCACTGCGGCCGGGCTGCTTTGGGCTCCAGTGGCAAACAAACTCACATTTTCTGAGTTCCGATGCTACTGTCCCAGCCGGACGTCCCACATCCCAAAGCAGACTGAAGCCCGGCGGAAAATTCCGAGGAAAACACAACCAACGAACGAATGAATGAATGAATGGACGGACACACACAATGTTCCAAGTTCCCCTAAAATATGACCCACTTGTTCTGGGTCTACACAGAAAAGAGACGCAGAAGGAACAAAGAACACCCACATGCGTGAGCGTGCACACAGACACACACACACGCACACACACAACAAAAAGCAAAGCAAATACATGACCGAAAAACACAAAGATGAAGGCGAGAGGCCTCACATCCTATTACCTCGCTAATTCACGCGTGAGCGACAACGCAGAGACTTCCCGGGGGACCGACACCACCAGACTGGCCGAGGGGACCCGTGCAGACTGCTTGTCGGACAAAGACTCCGGACGTTTTCCTTTCAACACAGGTGCATTTTAAAACACGACTTTGGGGCGATTTGTGTGTAGCGACTGGGGGGGGGGGGGCGCATACAAGTGAAAGAGTGAGCACTGGAAATACTTTTTAAAGAGAAATAAAAACACGAGGGCGCGGGGGTGGGGGGAACCGAGGAAATTCCGATCCAACGTCAAAGCGAAATAATACCGCTCAGCACTTAACACTCAGGTGCCTCGGGCCGGGCCTGAGCTAATTCATGGGAGCGCAGAGTGTACAATTTAATGCAGAACGGTGGCTATACTCACTACAGATCAACTTCATACTCTTTTGTCTTTGAAGATTCCATTGTGGACAGTCATGCGCAGTTACAGGGTGTAGTCTGTTTAGATTCCGTAGTTCGTGGGTCATCAGTTGCGGTAGATCTGTGGCATTGTGACTCCTTTGCTAACGGGCACCACTCCAGGTCACCCTGTACATACCTGAGCCTCAAGGCACAATCACTGTTTCAGATTTAAAATTCTTAGTGTGTTTGTTTGGTCCAGAAACTGAGACAATCACATGACAGTCACCACGAGGAGAGAAAACAAATAAAACAAGAAAAAAGAAAAAAAAAAAAGAAAACCCACACACAAAAAAAAAAAAAAAAAAAACCACAAACAAACAAACAAAAAAGTTTTAAAAAAACAAAACACACACACACACACACAAATGTCTAAGAAGAACTTTGGTACAGGAACTTTTTTGTAATATACATGTATGAATTGTTCATCAAGTTTTTATATTAATTTTAATTTGCTGCTAAGCAAAGACTAGGGACAGGCAAAGATAATTTATGGCAAAGTGTTTAAATGGTTTATACATAAATAAAGTCTCTAAAACTCCTGTGGACACTGGTCTTCTGTGGAAATGCTTTGAGGCAAGAACAGGGTGGAAGTTGCTGGGGAAAAGGGGGCGAGCTGGTATTTTGAAGTTTTGGGGGGGCTTTGGCCACACCTGCAGCCTCCTCTCCGTGTGACACAGGTGGAGAAAAGCATCTGGACTGGAACCTGTGGTCGGTGAGGACCCCAGGCCCACCCTGGATGGGTCACTGGAGGCCTCCGGGGACAGTGGGGTGTCTCCCTGCTCCCACCTCCTAGCTCTGGGAGGTGCTGGCAGGAGACAGACAGCGAACACCTTCGCCACACTGGGAGCCGTTCCTGTGTTCGCATGGTCCCGTGAGTGTGCGCTTGTATCCTCTTCCAGACTAGATCAATTCACCCCAAAACATGCACACTTAGGACAACCCAAGTAAGAAGAGCACTTAGGATCTCGATGAATTTTCTTGGCACCAATCCTACAGTTAGAATAATATCATTAATAGCCAGTATTTACAAACGCTCACTACATGCCAAGACAGTGCCCAGGGCCCTGCACACCATGCTTGTTCACGCTACTCCGCACCTTCTGTTCATTCACCATCATACTGAGGGCTCGCCACAGGGGGTCCTGGGCTACGTTCTGGGGGTAAACGGGGTGAGTAGACATCAGCACGGGTCCTTCCTCCCCTCGTGCGTCTCATAGTCAGGGCTGCAGAGAGACCATAGCCAAAGAAGTAACTAAGAAGTGAAAATGACACGCAGGGGTGTTAGTGCCAGAAAAGATAGATTTATAAAGCCACGGACGCGCATATTGGGGACGTGACCTGGACTGAGAATGGCACAGAACTGCTGAGGTCTGAAAGCGACATAGACGTTACCCAGGCGAAGAGGAGGAAATGCATTCCAGACCAGGGAGCGGCGTATGCAAAGGGACTGTGGTGGGTGAGGCGGGAACACGGAAGAGGTGGACAGGGTTCAGAAGAGACAAAGACTGAAGACTGCACTTCTTCAATCAAACACCAGAGGGAGTCCGGTTTAGTTTCATAGATGAGGGTCTGGTGCAGTGAGGACAGGCAGGGGAGCCGGCCATCTGTGTGGGATGAAGGAAGAGGCTGCTGACCCGAGATGAAGGTGCTCCGGACAAGGGAAGAAGAAATGGGAGTGAACGGAGCGGACAGATTGCAAGGACGAGCTCCTGGCAGCAGTCACTGCAGGTGAGGGGCGAGGCCAGTTATTCCCCAGCTGGCAACGGTGGAGTCAGACTCAAGCCCAGCTCTGGCAGCTCTCAAAACCTCTCCAGGAAGTCTGGGTGGTACATCACCCCAAGACCCTTCAAGTCTGAATCCCGGCCGCCTCCCAGTCATCCAGCCAGGCCGGTGCTTCCCCGGTGGACGGAAAGGGAGAGACAGGCTTGACGCCGTGTGTGGGCTCACAGGCCCTGTCGGCATCACCAGCAGATCGAGCTATGAGTACGCAAACCAGGGAAGGAAAGTTCCAGAGAACTTGCTCCTCAGCCGCACGCGTGAACACCGTTTCCCCCAGTGCAAGGACTTCGGGCTGTTCCCCTTCAGAAAAGGACAAGGGGCAGGAGCCCCTCCTGTGTCCCTGGGGCCAGCTGCCACCCACCTTGTCTCATCCGACAGGCGCCCAGACCACTTGGACGTGCACCCCAGAACACCCTCCAGCTCAGATCCTGGTTTGGTGGAAACTACAAGAGGGGCTGACCTCCGTGTCGTGTCTCCCTGGGGTCCATGCGACCAGCAAGGCCACACCAGGGAGCTGATCTCTGGCCACAAGCCAGTGGGGAGCCCGCTGAGCCCCGAGCCCACCCAGGAAGACCCAGGGGGCTGGACGCAGAGTGAGGCACACACAGAATCGCATCACCGGAATTTTACTCGCACCTGGAACTCACTTATGCCAGCCAGCTCTGAGTGATCCGTTCTGCGACACCCAGGCCAGCCGGCCCTCACAGCACACACCCCAAACCATACCTGGGAGGAGGCAGCATGGTAAAGTCCTCTCCTGCCTCTGGCCAGCCCTGGACTGGCCAGGACGAGGTGCTCGATGGCCTCCAGAGGTGTCTGCGCTGACATGGGCTCTGTGGGTGGCGCAGGGGACAAGGCTGCCCTCTGACAGCAGTCCACCGGGGACAGCCCCCCTTGGCACTCACTGAGCAGGGCACCTGGGAAGGTCACCGTGTGTTCATGAGGGCAAGTAGCATTAGCCGCTCTGTGAGCTAAACCAACCCTAAGTTACCAAACAAGAGAAACTGCACGCTCACTCATGCGTGGTCCCGGTGGGTCAGCGACAGGGCTCCCTGCTGCAGGTCCTCAGCCACCCCAGGCCCTGGGGTCCTTCCATCCGTGACTCTGCCTCGTGCCTCAAAGGCCCCACCTTCGTCCAGGTCCTCGGGACCTTTGCTGGCCTCTCCATTCAGCTGGTTGATGGAGAAAGAGGTCCCTGGGTAACTATTTCCAATCCAATGGGCCACACCTGGCAATTGTCCCCCCCACCCCCACTCATGTTCCAGGGGCTGGCACGGACCCCACCAGCACCGCAGCGGAGACTGGAACGTGTAGTCCGGCTCTGAACCAGGCAGAGGAGGAGGCTGGCTGTTGGGGAACCCAGGCCGTCTCTGCACACAACCCAACGTCCGTGAGCCTGTCTCCTCACCTGTGGGGACGGACAGGACGGGGCCCTGCGATGTACCGGAGACGCTGCCTCTGTTGTTGACGCACAGTAAGTGCTCAGTAAAGGCTAGTTTTCGTTATTACTAAGTCTTTGCTCCAAGTCCAGATTCTCTCAAAGTGGAAACGGAGGCATGATCCAAGCGTCACAGGAGAGGCAATGCCATGCACAGGGTGGGGAGGACGGAGGGGCACCTGCCCAGACCCCACTGCACGTGGCCACACCCCCACCCCGCCCAGGGAATGTGGACGGAGGCTCCTCGGAAGGGCTGGCGTTGGAGGGCTGAGTGTCTCAGCACCACGAAGTCTGGCATCGGAGCAGTCACCAAGCACAGTTCTGTCCTAGGCACTGTCAGAGTCGGGGCTACACAGATAAATAAAACACCGTCAAAAATCACAGTCTAAAGGAGGAGACAAACTCACAGGAGCCAATGGGGGTACAGGAGGCTCCAAGCTGGCACAGAAGAGGTGCCCGGAAAGAAGCCCAAAGGAGACAACCCCCACAGCTAGGGGCTCCCAGGTCGGAGAACACCAGGTGGGGGGGGGGCGCCCTGGGCAGAGAGGGGAGCAGGTGCGGGAGAGGAAATGTACAGGTCGTCGGGAGAAGTTCGGAGCAATGGCTGCACATCAGGTGGGGCCCTGTTTACATATGAGAATCACCGAGGGACCCCCAGACCCCGGCCCACTGAATCGGCATCTCTGCAGGGTGGTCGGCCTGCACCAGCGGGTCCAAGCTCCTTGGGCGATTTGAGCGTGCAGTGTGGAAGCCCCGGACAGGAGCCCACCGCCCCGGACCGGAGCCCACCCGGAGGCACAGGCCTGAGACAGGCCCAGCGGAGAGAAGGAGGCAGGAATGAAAACCAGGCCCAGAAGCTGGGCCTTCTCCTGCAGGCGTGAGTAGGGTTTTGTAACCGCGGAGAAATCCGACTAGCAAATCCTTCCGTCAGCAAAGCGGTGCAAAGGGGACAGAAAGTACAGCGCCTGGGGGGCTACAGCAGCCGGAGGCAGGACTGCAACAGCGGGGAGGGCCCACGTGGAGGTGGCCCCCAGGACAGAGGTTTGGGAAGTGAGGGCGAGTTTCTGTCCCCTCTCGGAGTCGGGGACAGTGTCTATCCACGGTGGAACCTCTCTCCTGGGGATGCCTGACAGCCCCACCCCACCAGGGACAGAGGACCCCTCAGGAGAAGGGTTTGAGGGGAAGTCTAGCTGAGGCTTCCCTTGGGGATGGCCCAGTCAGCACTTC